ATCAAATTGCTCCTTGCAAATCACCCCTTGATTTAGGAACTTGATACTTGAAGTATGTGTATCTCTGTTGACGTAGGAATGCACTAGGAAGGGATTTTACCTCAATCCCTTATTTGTAAATTTTGATTTGATAAAATGCACTCAAATGATTTATAGTAAATGTATCTACAAATGGAGTGTTGGTCTTTGTTACGATATTTATTAGTATGTTGGAAATCTCGGTTAGGGATGGACCGTTTCCTTGAAATCGGCTGGAATTGCTAGGAATCGCCGGGATACCCGATCGTCATCGTCGTCACGGTCGCGTGTTGCTCGATTTCTGTTGTCATCGTAGCCCCGCGGCAAGATGGACGTGAGAATGCGAAATTCGTAGGCAACAGGGTGGAGAGGGGCCCGTCAGGAAGGAAGACTTCTTTGGGGCCCCGGCTCATTACCAGCAATTGTGGCCGAACGGCACCCCGCGGCGTGCTACACGGCCCCTTCCCTCGGTGCCTCGGGGCCCCGTGGAACCTCCCCCACCTTGCCCCACGACAACGGAATTTAATTGCTCGATCAATCATTATTCCGGTGACCGGCCGATCGCCACCGTTCACTCCCCCGCGTCATCGTTTTTATGGTTTCCACAAGTTTCAAAGCGGTCAGTGTACATAAATTTCTGTAGAATGGATATAGCGGATGTAAATCATGTTTTTAAGAATCTCTATAATAGACGAGAGGTAAATTAATTTGTAAATCGCCTCTTTCGTCGAATATCTTTATAAAATCTTGACGGTTTCATCTGTTTTTCTGTTTCATCAAGTTTTGGGTTTCGTAAATGGTCAAAGATAAATACGACTGTGGCAGACACTTTTTCTTCATTGTGTTCAGTTTTGAAAGTATATGCACAGTTCTTTGAATTAAAACAGTGGAAACATTTTTAGTATTAAAACATTGTTACAATTTTGAATAGTTGAAATTTCTTTCTAGATCTAATTTTCAAAATTAACATTATAAATATTTTACGAAGAAGAAGATGAGAGGGAGAGGCGAACCGGCGAGGCAGACTAAATAATATTATAGTTGGTGTTCTCACGGTCCCGGGACGCCCGCGGGCCCAACTCGTCACCCCCTTCCCTCCCTCGGCCTCCTCGTTCTTCTTACTCTGCCCAGTTCGGGCCCACCTTCGCGTCCCCCTCCACCCCCGAGTGTCTCGCCCACGCTCGCCAGAAGAGGGGCCCCCGCGTGGTTGCTCGTGGGTGGGGGAAAAGAGGGACCAGACCAGAACTCAGGGAACGAGCATGGACGACAACGGATGAACGGGGTCAGGGTTCACCCCCGTGGCTGACCGTCACCGTGCTCCTCTCTCTCTCTCTCTCTCTCTCTCTCTCTCTCTCTCTTTCTTTCTTCCCCCCTTCTTCGAGCCTTGTCTGTCTCTCGGACCTTTCTTCTGACTCCCACACCTTCCTCTACCGTGCTCTTCCTTCCTGTGTTCTTCTGTTTCCACACTATCAGTCAATCAGTCCTCTAAAGGAGTACAAGTATTTTTCAATGAACACTGATTCATGATTCGAAAATATCAATACAAGACATTGTAATATCTGTGACAGTATTTGATGTTACAATATTTTAGTAGAAACTTCAACATCATTATTTTAAATTAGATTTTAAAGTAGATTTATTTTAAAGTAGATTTACTAGAAACTTCAACATCATTATTTTAAATATTAATATTATACATTTTATTAATCTTATCAGAATATTTGAACGATTAATTTACATATATTTCGTTCGTTTGAAATTCACAGCTAGAATCGTTTGAAAAATGATTGAATAAGCAAACGACAACTAATGAGTTCTCATGTTTCAATTTTCTGGCGGAAAAGAAGAAGCAGATTGGGAATAAGTTTACGAGGAACTAAACAATCAATTTCCAGCACGGCGCCTTTTAAAACACGCTAAACGCCGGCACGTTTAGCGGTGCGTCCATCCATAGCGTGTACTTACACGCGTGCAAGTGCTCAACCCGCGACTGTAAAACTCGCGAACGAGCTAGCTACGTCGTATTTACATTGTTTATTACCCTCTCCGTACAGTCCCCGACAAAATCTTCCAATGCACGAACATCTTCTCCATCTTCCATGTAGTACAATAAAAAAATATTTTATAAGTTAATTACCATTTTTATTTCCTTTTCTATATTCATCAGATAGTCTTTTTATTTCCTGACATAACGAATATAATATTTTCGCAGAAAATAAATTATACAGAAAATTTGTTTTGACTTTTAATATGTTTAATATTATTAAATAGATAAATTACAAACTTGATGCATTTACGAAAAATGGAATAGAATACATGAAGACTATATGCAATGTACAAGAATGAAAGTATACAAAAACCAGAGTGTGTAAAAAATATGAAGTGCACGTTTAGCCTGACGCACAGCATAGAACGCATTTCTGCGATTATAAGAGTCTCATATTGCAGCCTATTAATAGTATTAGCATAAAGGGTTGTTACCGGTTTGTAACTCGTTCATTGTTGGTCACGCGCGATCACGAATTTACTGCGCGGGACACGTCGCGTCACTCGAGGCCCCTGTCTCTCCCTCTAGAACTTCCTGGGCCCGGCGTACGGTCCCAGCTCGCCTCGGATACCGTCCACCAGGTGTCTCCACGAGCAGTGCCCGTAAACCCGAGCCGAGAGCAGTCTTTGGGGTGCCTTCGCACCGCGAGCATCGCGCGCGTTCGTTCTCTCGCGTTCACCCGTCGAGTCAGTGAGTCAGAACCGAGTTACCGAGTACACGGACCGTTATCTGTCAATGAGAAGTGAATCCCAGAGGAAGCATTGACCGATGCAAAACTCGAAGAGTGACTTGAAATGGTTCACGATGTACCATCAAACAGAAGGATTGATAAATCAGTCTCATTGACGCGAGATCGATTCGTGAAGGAAACTAAAACCTGTTGATAATAAAATAGCGAGATCATCGATGCGACATTTCGTCAGTCCGTGAGTCGAGCGCAAGGTTTCAAGGATAACCGTAAGAAGAACCGTCGGATCAACCTTCAGATAGATCGCCAATGGTACGGAGAACGGTGGGCCAGTGTTTCGAGCCGACCCTGCAGGATCTAGACGGGGGAGGATGCAACAGCAGCAGACCCAGCAGGATCAGGACCAGGAGCGGGGAATCGTAATGATCCCTACGACCTCGAGCTCCACGGATGCCCGCGACGCGACGAATGAGGCCGGCCTGCCGAATCTCACCCTGCAGAGCGTGGCCCTGGGCCTGCAGGGTGCCCTCCTCGCCGCCCTCCAAAGGGCCGCTCTGTTACCGCCGGGACACGCGGCCGCGGCTGCTTTGAATCTCCAAGCTCTGGAGACTTACTTGACTCTTCACCGTCTTCATGCCACTAGCAGTGCCACGGGGATCAATCAGACCGCCGGTGCTACTAATCAGAGGATCAATGAACTGGAAAACTTGAAGAACGAGAGTCTTGTTAATGAAAGATTGTTAAGAAGCGACGTGGAGGATGAGAGGCTGGATTTTATTGGGGAAACCGAGGAAGATCTGGCTCTGTTGGAGGAACAAGACGTATTGGCTAGCTCTTCTGTGAACGAGGAACTATTGAGACGGATAACGGAGGGGAATCGTGGTGCTGGCTCGTCGATGACGGTGACTCAAACCCCTCCGTTGACGCAGCAGGTAGCCTCGTCCACCACCTCGTCTAAAACGATCCAGGCCACCTCCACGTCCACCGAGACCTTGCCTAGGAACTGCAGGGCGTCCCGGCCTAAGAAACAGTTCATCTGTAAATTCTGCAATCGGCAGTTCACTAAGAGTTACAATTTGTTGATCCACGAGAGAACGCATACCGACGAGAGGCCGTACTCGTGCGACATTTGCGGCAAGGCTTTCCGACGGCAGGATCACTTGAGGGATCACAGGTAAACGAAACGTAGATGACTTCATTATTTTATCATTTACAGCCTCAACTTTTTAATCAGATTTTAATTTAATTTAAGATAAACAGAAATAATGAAAAATTTATAACTTATTTAAACAGGTACAGAATATTAAAAGTGTGAAATGCATATTAGATAGTATGACTGATTTTTATTTTCTAAATTTATGTTACAAATTATTAGATTCATGTATTCGATGAATTTTCTGTATAAAAATGATTCGAAATAGAAGAGCGTTAACGAGTTCGATGACAGACGTCGAGTCAGTATCCACGTAATGGGATTAGGGAAATTAGGAGGATTAATGATTGTCTGGCTGAGCAGGCGTGGAAATTTTCGTGGCCCTTCCGAGCCTGCCAGTTAACGAAAGGATTGTTAGTGATATAAAAGATGAGATTCATTGTAGGCCAAATTCATCGGAATGATCGTTTAAAAATAATTATGACTATGTATGCGTTCGTGTATTATAAAACGCGCATTGATACAGATCATTTATTTGAATGAATTGTTTCGAATTTTTAATTGTTACTCGATTAAATCATTGATTATGAAACGATCGCTTTATGCTCGTGTACAAATTTTTAATTACTTTCACAGTTATGACACGTGTGTCGATTAGCATGATTCATTCACGAACAGATGAACGGTAATTAATACCCATAGCAGCCATTTGTCGTAATTACTCGTCGACTATTATTTAGACATGGCTTGGATGATTACGTTCAATTTGAATAAAGCCTGTCGTGATTGGTTCAACCATGACTCGGTATAATGGTAGTAGCTTTATCTTGAGCGAGCGAATATATTTTTTAGTGGTAACGTGAATAGAGAGGCAAATTGAGTTCGATTATCAATGATTCCCAATGCTGTTCGATTTCAATAGACGGTGTCGAAGCCTTCGCATAATACAATGTTAATTAAAGTAATTGATAGGGAATCACGCTATCAAACGTATTTACGTACGTAAATTACACGCGCGCATCAGAAATATTTTTTAACGCACGAGACACAAAGGTGTATTTACCTATTGATTGATATTATATCAAATATTGAATAGGATTTCTAATTTGGTCAATTGAACTTTGGTTCCACATAGAAAGAGCTTCGAACCACAAGTCAATCGGTCTTAGTATAATAATTAAATAATGAGAATCTAATGAAAGGATCTCAAATAATTAGCCAGGGAATAGAATAGTAATCGTTTGTTCAACAATCTATTTTCATTTCCAGGTACATCCACAGTAAAGAGAAACCGTTCAAATGCGGCGAATGCGGCAAAGGATTCTGTCAGAGCAGAACCCTGGCCGTGCACAAGATCCTGCATATGGAAGAGTCGCCGCACAAGTGTCCCGTGTGCGCGAGGTCGTTCAATCAGAGGAGCAACCTGAAGACGCACCTCCTGACGCACACGGACATCAAGCCGTACCACTGTGCTTCCTGCGGGAAGGTCTTCCGCAGGAACTGCGACCTGAGGAGGCACTCGTTGACCCACAATCTGGGCGTGTCGACGTCCCCGCCGCCGCAGCAGCCGCCGCCGCCGCCGACGGGAATCGCCGGCTCGGTGGTCCTCCAGGAGACATCCTAGAGATTCTCGCGACAGTGGCAGTCAGGCCTGGTTAAAGCGGAACAAAAGATTCTCTGGCCGTTTACCGAATGGAACATGGTAAACGTGTGTCAAGTGTCAAAAGTAATGGACAGTCACTGGTTCGAGTATGAAATGGATCGAAGTAAAGGGAACTAATGGTGATTATGTTCAGTGTGATCGAAACAGCTGTTTCTGGTAAATAAATTGTAAGTCAAAGTGGAGCCAGGAAACTTGGAACCATTCAGTGTTCCGTAGTTAGGGTCTCGTTGAAATAAAGCTACTTGAGATTCTTAAGTAAAGGTTGATTTCTGGTTGGAAACCTGTTTTATGAACTAGTTTGTAATTTTCTGTTATACACGTACAAACCAAGTTCAAGTATTTATGAATCTGTTCAAATTTTAGTCAAGCACATTTCATTTAAGCCATCGACTTCCTGTCTATATTTAAGTCAATCAATTTTCTCTGGATCGAATTCATGTATCAATTCAATGTTATGAACGAACAAGACAATCTTTTAATAACAAATTTAATCTGCCTGAATTTTATAATACAATTCATGTACATCACAAGGAGAATTGTCGTAAACTTGCCTGAATCAATGGGACGTGTCCCTAATTTTTAATGACAATGGACGACGATTTTTAGCCTGCGCTTAGCATGTAGTTAATAGGTAACGGAGCGTATTAGGTTCGACGGTTAGGTCTCTGTAATTATACTGCAACGTATTAAGTAACACCGTATGTATGTTGTAATCAAGCAACGCGTCCCGTTTGTACTGTAAAATAAACTTTTATTATATTATTTTTTAAATCTGTAGTTTTTCCCTCGAATTCCTTAGTCTACGCTAGACTCCTTTTAATTTCAAATATCAGCAAATTAAGAATACTATAATACTGAATTCTTGAAACAAATAGGAAGTCACATGGAAACAGAAGAAAAGGGAAATGTATGAATCATGGAAAAAGGAAATGAATGAGATTCTAAAAAGGAGAGGCAGAAGAAAAAGGAGAGGAAGAAGTATTATAGAGGAGAAGGAGGAGGAAGAGTCGCGTATCGTGTTACAAAGAACGAGGCCGCCAGGTGCTTGGGACATGACACCGCGATACGTCTAGGGTTACGTTTCTTTTTCATCGGATAGGTGGTGGGAAGGCGGCCCGAATGATGGGCCCGTGGGTCCGTGGGCCTCAGACGCGGGACACGGCGTCGATAACGAGAATCCTCTGAACCTTCTAAAGTACTGGAGTAATCCAAGAATCTCAATTTAAAAGAAGAACAAGTAGTACGAACATACGATTAAGGAAACGTCTGATATCTTCTCAATCTAATTGGTCGCGCTACTGCAATCAAATATTCGACATGAAGTCGATTCAGTTATTCATTTACAACTTAGTATAAACACAAAGGAGAAATATGTATATACAATATTAATATTAGAAAATAAAATATCATTTGATTAAGAAAAATTTTTATCCAAAGGAAGCAGATGTGAAATAACAAATTGAAAATGGTTAAAAATGTATCTCTAAGCATTCCTAACGAAGGTAAGAGAGGAAGAGAAGGTGAAAGCTAAAGATCGTGACACGAGCATCGCCAGCGAAGAGGACGGGGTAACCCAATCGTCCCTTCTTCTTCTTCCTCCTTCGTGGAGGCACGCGTGTAAAGATATCCGCGCGCGTGTGCGAACACGAGGAAACAAGCTAGGAGGAATAAGAAGAGGAGGACGAGAACTGACCAGACGCGTTATCGACGCTCTGCCAACCCCTTAAATCAGCGGAGGTAGGCGAAGCGAACGGGGATGAAGGAAGAGGACGAGTGTGCCTCTCTCCCTTTCTCTCGACCTTTTTTTTTTTTTTCTACAGGGTTCCACGGTGACGAAGAGAGGACATGCGCATGCAGATCACGTCGGGTTGTAGCCGACGTGATAGCGTATCTGTGGGCGGCACCGTGCGTGTGGTCCCTCTATGTCCCCTTCCCTACGCTTCCCCATCCTTCAGGAACGTTTCAGATCTCTACCCCCCTCCTCCTCCTCCTCCTCCTCCTCCCCTTCTCTTCACGCTTTTCGCCTCCTGTAGTACCTGGCCAAACGTTTCCTCGATTACCTTCGATTTCTACACACACGCCATTTTTAAATCCATTCACTTTCCTAAACTCATTTCATCAATCTAATGTCACAGTGAGAAATAGAATTAGAAGAACAGTGAACGTACATAATCTTATATTCTTACTTAATTTCATTCTTAATTTAATTCTTAATTTCATTCTTAATTTAATTCTTAATTTAATTCTTACGTTTCACTAAATTTGATACTTATATTAGTTATTCTGTACGTTTGTGTCTAACACATTCCTAGTACATTTTATATCTTGATTTAACAGCTCGTTTTTATAGTCAATTGACGATCACAATTATATTGTAATTTCTCGTAGAGACACGTGAATGTATGACGATTATTAGAGAATTGAAAAAAAAAAAAATGATTAATAAACGTTTTATCGATGAAACAAACGAGATGCGTAATAATTATTGCATTATTGCAATGAACTTTGGTATACAGGATCATCGCATAAACAATTATAATGAAGGGAGAAGCAGCAGCTATCGCTTCTCGCGATCTGATATCTAAAGTTCACGATCGACGCGATTTGAATAGGAATTACTCACGCAGACGATGGGAAGATGTTAATAATTGAAGAAAGATTCGATGATTACGCGAACGACATTAGCATACTAATGGATCTGCGCCGATATTTTTTCTCTTCTCATTAGATCTATCCATTTCTCTTCGTTGTTCTATTGACATTTAATAAGAGCTTGAATCAAAGTTCAATGGTTCTCTTAAATCATTGTGTCATAAACTCTGTCGTGCAACTGTATGTCAAATTAATGATGCACATGTAGAACTGGACCAGAAAGGTTCAGCAGTTTAGTATCATTTCATAGATAAATACAGTATTTGGAGTATTGAAATACCTGCATTAATAAAAACTTAATAAAGCTTATGTATGTCCTCTTTTGAACGTCATTGGT